CCTCTTGAAAGACAAGTGCTCTTGTATCGTACTTAACTTACTTAAATAAAAAAACTACATTAACTGCTAACTTACTTGGTGGCTGAAATAGTTGAGCATTTTCCTCTGGTGCAAGTAAGCGTTTCGAAGCCGTGATAAAAACGAATGTTGATTTATTTTTTTTCTTTTTAATTCAGCTTTCATTTTGAGGATTGACGTAACACGATCTTCTCCACTCATCTTGCCATCTACTAAAGTAAAGTAAACTTAGAAAATAAACGATGTTTTTAAAAGCAATTTGTTTATAAGCAACTTTACTCAAATTTGACTAAATCTTAATCGACTCCCAGACTGACGTCAGTGTGTCTTAAGCAGCTCAGTAAATGAATAACGTAAAATTAAATATTTGCGAGACCTTGACCTTTGCTTCGAATAATCTGAAATTCGTATAATTGATGTTTAAATAACTAATATAGCATTGAACATTTAAAACAAAAAGCAACTCGTTTATAAGAAACTGTACTTAAATTTAACTAAATCTAAAAACAACACAGCTGCTGACGTCAGTGTGAATGACAGAAAAATGGATAATTAAACGAAATGCGATTTCTGAATGGGTAACGATATTCATAAATTCTAATAATTTGAATTTTAATAGTTTTTTAGTTAGATTCAATTAGTTCTTTATATTTATTAGAGGTAAGCATAATAAAAGAAACAATCATCTAAGAAATTTAAGTTGTAATTCTCAAACAATCCGTGTACTCGTTAAAATCCTAAGTCGTTTATAAAGAAAATGTGTATTCCTCTTAAATAACACATAATATTAACCTAGCGAAATTTAGATATTTTAGAATTTACATATTTTTTGATTCACTTGAATTAAACAAAAGGAACTTATTTTTTTCTATCTACAATCACTGTCTCCCGTTTTACAATGCTTGTATTTCTCTTGTCTGTTGAAGTTCGAAGCTTAATGTAACTATGTCGACCTTTGGACACGTATTCGATTTTCCGTTTGCAATATTTACGTTATTATCTCAAGTTTGTCCTCGTCTGGATTTACGCCCAAACTATACTCAATTAAATAAACATAAGCATCAACATACTGTAGTGTAATGTAATGGAAAATTCCGTATAAATACGAGAAATCACTGGAGTCCTTCAAATTTATATAGAAATGGGAGATGCAATGTTACAATGACTCCAACACCTTAATATTTCGTTAGCTCTTCCAGGTACTGTAGTATTTTAATATTTTCATCATCATCGAAAAATCAATATTTACTTCACTACAAAAATTCAGAAAACCCGCAAAAAAGATAAAAATAAAAAGATATCTCGCCACCCATTTTAGAAAAATCAACTGCCTTCATTTTTTTTTAAATGCCTTCAAAACTAAAGTGATCATGGCTCTCCACGCATTCTTTTTCATTCTTACTTGTGAATTCCCCTGATCTGGGAAAGATAGTGAAGCCATTTTCTGTTGCTTTCTCCAAGATGTGGAATTCATAATTTTCCTTCTGTTTGCCACTCAGATTTATAGAACACAATCTATCCTGCTATTTCACCCACAGCAAGACATGGAATTTTGCTTTCTTAAAGGGTATTTGTGTGAAAATGAGCGCAACAGACCGGGCTGGAATTTGAATTCTCTTCGCCAATTCTACTTTGAGTGTCGATAAGCCTAACACTACACTCTTCGTTGTCATATACGAATTATCTTGGATCCCCTAAACGATACATTGCTACAGATTAACATAATGTAAAACAAATATATATATATATATATATATATATATATATATATATATATATATATATATATATATATATATATTTTATTTATGGGTTGCGAGCGTTCAAAAATAAACATGCAGCCATTTTTTAAGAAATCGGTGTTGAGAAACAAGGAGTTAATGGTAAAATAAATAAAATTACACACACACACACACACACACACACACACACACATATATATATATATATATATATCAGTTGTATGGATATTATTATAGCTCTATCAATATTGAGCGCTTTCCACTAAGTACCGCGCATATAAAAATTTATATATATATATATATATATATATATATATATATATATATATACGTCCTGGGTATAAAGATAAACCACATCCAACATCAAGACCTCTCATCAGGAGGCTTTGAGGAGTGTAGAACCGCTTCTTAGTTGGCGTTGTTCCCAGGTTCACCCTGACCCGGGGTAGTAACACCTGTTAGGGTCTCAGCTATGGGCAAAGAGTTAACCTCCAAACTGAGGTCAAAACACTACGAAAGTGTAAAAATAGGTTTTAATACCAGAAATACGTTTTTGTAAAAAAACAAAAACAAAAAAAAACAGCAAAAAATTTTTGAATAAAAAATTATTACCAGCAATACATTTTTACAAAAAAAAAAAAAAAAATGTTACCGGCAATTGTTGGCATTAAATAACCCATTGTAGTTGATATACCGTAAAACAAACTAAAACCAAACTAAACCATATATATATTCGAATTCCAGTCGAATCCATTACATTCACGTGCTAATACCCTTGGGAGAGGTGTTAATCCTCTTCTTCTCTACCCCCCCAGCTATGGGTAAATAGCAGGACAGACTGGGTGCTATAGCCTTGGATGGCAACTGGTCTAGGAGAAGGACAACTCTGAATGCAAAACCTGCGCAGGGCCGTTTGGGGAGTTTGTGGCACGTAGTGCACCAGATCTCTGTATTCGGCCCTTCAAAAAGTGTGGATGGTCCTGCACGAAACCTTCACCACTATAATCGAATCTCATGTGCTGTTGTCAGGCTGTCGGTTTCCTGGGAACTGATCTGCTTGACCCATATACGTCGTATTCGACGGTAGAGTCGACTTATATATATATATATATATATATATATATATATATATATATATATATATATATATATATATATACATGAAGTGCACATTGAAGACAGCATTTTATTTTATCCGACCAAACTGTACAAAATCCCGTTACAAAATTAAAAGCCGATAAACCGTGCGTACGTTTTATGTAATGTAGGTAATTGTTGCATAACATATAAATTCATTTTTGTTTATGATCCTATTATTTATTAAGGGACTGTTTAAATTTGCCAAAGGTTCTATTAACAAACTATTTACACCTTCTTTTCGAAATATCTTGTCCGAAGGTCACAGAGCGATTTCTACCCTTTCAGACTTTTCTTCTTCCATTTTTCCTTGGTATGTGTTCCTTTTTTATTTCTCCGTGTCGACGTCTTCATCACTGAAGCTTGTGCATTGATGTGCGGAGTTTGCATGGAAACTTTTCATAACTCTCTAATTTTGCATGAATGAGCAGTTGCTAAAATTTCTCAGTCTGACTAAGAAAGATTCCAAAAGATCTTTAATATTTTATAAAAATGTCTCAGGTCATTTTTTTTTTATTAGTTTTCAGGTACATATGCATCAAAAGAAGATTTAACTATATTTAAAGAATGTATGTTTTATGTCTTCTGTTAAAATGTCTGCCTTTGGATTTCTTAATAAATAATGATAAGGGAAAGTTCCCCAGAGTTATTTCCCTTTGCCTATTGCAGAGTTTTGTTTTGATATGTGAAAATGGTTGATTTTTTTTTGTTACGTTTTTATTTTTATTTTTTAATGCATCCTGTTTGCAGGTAACATTATTTTTTTACCATTCTTTAAACGTACCTTACTTCCAGCAGCATTTCACAATTTCGAATATTTACCCCCCCACCCTCGCTTCTCATTTTTCAACATGAATATTTAGCATAATTTAAATTAACTAACTTTTTTTGTACTATTTAGTTCTTTCTATTTAATGCTGCAGTCCGGAAATCATTATTCAACGACTGCACCGGACATTTTATCTTTAGGTACCATGACTAAATGGTTTTAAAGTTTTTCAGTTAAAATATCCCTCCTTCTCTCTTTCTCTCCCTCCCTCCCTCCCTCTCCTTTCCCTATCCTGCCTCCCTCTCTCCCTTTCCCCCATATCTCCCCCTCCCTCCATCTCCCTATATCTCTCTCCCCCTCCCTATATCTCTCTCCCTCCCTCCACCCTTCCCTCTCTTTCTCCCTCCCTCTCACTCCCTCCACCCTTCCCTCTCTTTCTCCCTCCCTCCTCCTCCTCCTCTCTCTCCTACCCCCTTTCTCCATCCTTCCCAACTCTCTTCCTCCCTCTCTCCCTCACTCTTTCCTTCCCGCTCTCCCTCTCTTTCCTCTCTCTCTGTGTCTAAAACAAACATAAGCGCATCTATAGTAGCGACTTGCAAAAAAGAGTAATAAGCAGTAAGTGATACAAAAGTACCATTTTACAAAGGACCCTTTAAAAGGGAGCCTAAGAAAAAGGTGTTGTTTTTTTTTTAACTGCAGTCACGAACAACTGAAATGTATATACACATGTGTAATAAATATATTTGGAGGCACAGTGGCGTAATAGCGGCTCGGATTGAATTCAAGTCGAGCTCGTTACCTTGGGAAAGGTATAACTACATCTCTTCTCCCTCAGCTATGGGTAAAATAGCAGAAAAGATTGGTTCCTATAGAGGAAGGAAATTCTAAATTCAAACCACCTGCTGCCTTGTAGGGCCTGTCTTTTTTTACCTAAAAGACGGTAACTTTTAAAAAGAAATCAACCTCTGAGAGCAGGGATGGGGTAACCTCAACATCCGCGGTTCAAAAGGACAAGCCATTGCACTATTCTGCCTTGAATGTCACCCATGAACCACAACTGTGAAGTTGAGGGCAGTGGTGACCACATGCATTGGTAAAAAAAAAATGTGCGTACATGAATTGCCTTCTACCGTGTGTATGATAAAAATGTATCTGACTTTGTACCCGTATAAACAAATATACGTGATTAGGAAATGTCTGTTTGATATGCGACAGAAAACAAAAAAAAAAGTGTTGTTGAAAAATATACTTGATCAAAGCGGAAACTGTCAAATCATGTACGTTCTGTTGTATCGGATGGACTCCTTCAGCAAGCACCTCAACCTTCGTTGTATTACGGCCACATCAAATTTGAAACATCGATTCCCCTACGATCACCGAAGATCATCGAACAACGTCGAGCCTGGTCAGTACCTAGATAGGTGACTTCTTGGGAATACCAGGTGCTGTAAGCCTGAATGTGCGGGTGGTGTAATGGATAATGGCTCGGAATTGGGTAATCGCAGAGTCGAGTTCCAATTCCAATTGGGTTCGTTATATTCACTTACGCGCAAATACCCTTGGGAAAGGTATTAATTCACCTCTTCTCCCCAACCTAAGGGTTAATTAGTAAGACTATATCACTAAGGCAACTCCCCCACAAAAAATTCTTACAATCCAAAAAATATTAAATAACCTGTAAAAGGTTGACTAGATGTGGAAAATCAATCGATTAATCAAACATTGATTAGCTACATTGGCTTTTAGATTTATTTACATTCTCTGGAATATAAATGTACAAAAACTGCCACGGCCAAAAAGAGAGTGATCACTTTATATAATGATTGTATTATGGAATTGATCCCCAACTTTATATTCACATGATAATTTCTTGTTTATTTAGCAAATTCTCTCCAGAATGGAGTTAATTAGTAATACTTTACTAGTATCGTAAAACTATAATTATTTCCGCCCCCAACCGCCACAAATAATTCTTACAATCTAAGAATATTTTCTGACTTTAAATAACCTGCAAAAGTTTGATAAGCCGTAAAAAAAAAAACAATCAATCACTCAATCTTTGTTAACAAGTGACTTTTCTTTCCAGATTGAAGTTTAACAATTCTCTTTTAATAACCGCTTGAAATTCTATCATAAAATTGTACTATTTGTCTTTTTTTTTTTGTTTTTTTTTTTTTTGTTCAGTATTTTATTTTATTTTTCTGAAGGATATCGTCCGAGGCTATGACTACTGTTGATTCTCCACCAAGAAGATCGATTCTCAGGGATTGTTGGGTGTTGACTTGTTCATGTCTAAGGCCTCGTAAATGAAGACCATCAAGGATGTGACTGTTCTCCACATGACTACGGCCATTTTGTTACTCGTTTTTTTTTTTTTTTTTTTTTTACTCTAACAAACAAAACTAGTGAGCAAAGGAAAAAATATTATTAATAATGTCGTCATTGTTTTCATTCCGTTTCTTACATCTTCTAATGTTTTCAGTATTCCGTTTGCGCTACAGTTTGAGAACGTGGCTGGAACTAAAAGTTTTTTTTTTTTTTGTATTATTAAATGTTTTCTTCTATGAACTTAAAAATTAAAATATTAATCGTTTGATTCTAAAAATGTAAACACATTTTTCTTCATGTTTACATTTTTTTTTCTATTAAAAAATAATTGTTATCAAAGTTATTAAAATTCGCAAAAAATCTTTTAGAACATTAATTTTTCAAATTTGGAATAAATTCAATCAGACGTCTTTTTTTTTTTTTAAAAAAAAAATTCGATCAATTCATATTAAATAGAAAGAATAATAATTGCATATATTTCTAAGCTGTTCATTTTGAAACTAATATTTTAAGAAAAAAAAAGACCTCACCTCTAAATTGATTTTTTTTGTATTAAAAACTATTTTTACAATAATCAGTAGCAATTAATTTGATACAACATCTTACAATTATACATACATCCACACATACATGTATATATTTATACGTGTGTGTGTGTATGAATGTGTGTGTATATATATGGAGAAATACGTAAATGTGAGCTTTGAATTTATTTCGTTGTACGTCCGTGCGTTGTGACTTTTGTTCGGGCAGAACATTGAAAATGTGCCCATTTGTCATCTTGCAAATGTTTCGGATAAATTCTTTAAACTTTTAAAAGTGCTTTTGTTATTTCTTCTTACAATTGTAATTAAACGAATTAAGATGTGGAATGCAGCCTCGCCATTTATAATTTCATCAGAATTAAATATGATAGGATGACAATAATCACATTGTAATTCCGTTTGTTCCCGAGTTCGTTAATTAGCGTGTATGTCAGGCACTGCTCCTACCTCAGAATGGAATATTCTGTTTTGACTGCGAAGGAAGACGGAAGAAAAAAAAACGACCTTCTACTACCTCAGATAAATAATGAAATATTCTGTTTTGATTGTGAAAGAAGGCGGAAGCAAAAAAAAAAAAAGAAAAAAAGAAGTATGCTGTATTTTATGGGTAAAAGTGGTCATTATCTGGAATAATAGAATAAAGCGTGTGTCTTTTTCCTGTTTTTACACACACACATGTTCTAAAACAGTGTATAATAAATATTTATTGCACTACTCTTGTATCGAGCCCTGTTTTAAATTAATGTTTTGAAACGTTTTAATTTTATTCTTTGTTCTTTTATATTTGGTTGAGAGAGAGAGAGAGAGAGAGAGAGAGGAGAAGCTACCCTATAAAATTAAATATTTAACTTATCTTTCCTGACAGGAAGCTTAGACAGGGGATTTTATAGTAACATTCTTTGTACAGTGTAACCCGGATATAAGAGACCCTGATATAAGAGAAACCCGGATATAAGAGAGATTTTCTCAGGTCCCAAAGTCCTCCCATACTTACCTAAACAAAGTAGACCAAACCCGGATATAAGAGAAACCCGGATATAAGAGACTTCTTCTCCGGTCCCGACAACTCTTTTATATCCAGGTTACACTGTATTTACAGAAATCGTATTATTTACGTACACTTATTTATTTACAGAAATCAGAGAAAGCCAACTACGTCCTTATCTACCAGGCCGCACTTTTTTTATTTATTTGCGAAGAATCATATATATATATATATATATATATATATATATATATATATATATATATATATATATGGACACTGGGTTCATTACTGAGAGGCGACAGTTTATTTCATGCTTGAATCCATTCTTCGGGGTTGAAGATTTCATTCAAACATGAAACAGACTGTTATTCGTCTATGTAGAACACTGTGCATTTTTTTTTACATACACATTATCCCAGATATTAAGCACTTTTACCCGTAAATATAGCATACCTTAAAACTATATTTTTATCATATACAAATGAGTTTGATTAAAAAGAACCAAGAAGGTCTCTCTGTTGATTTTTTATTGTATTTTTCCAGTATTCAAAAAGGTGATGAGTACTATACACGAAATTGTGAAATTCATAATGTGTTATTAATTTGTTCAAGTATTTTCGACCATTCTAAAAACAATATCGTATCTGTGCGGTTGTTAGAATTCCTTTGTCTACATCCTGATATATATATATATATATATATATATATATATATATATATATATATATATATATATATATATATATATATATAGAGAGAGAGAGAGATAGTTAGATAGATAGGGAGATATATATATATATATAGAGAGAGAAAGATAAATATAAAGAAAGACAGAAGCGTGATGTGGATACATATATATGTATGTGCGTATGTGTGTGTGTGTGGGTGCGTAATTTTTATATACATTATTTATATATTATATATGCGCAGTACTTATTGGAAAGCGCTCAATATCAGTGATAGAGCTAACATATTTAGTTGGATTGATGTGAGTTTGTGATATTAGGTTTCACGCCCTTGCGATCGTCAGACAATATATATATATATATATATATATATATATATATATATATATATATATACAGAGATAGATAGATAGATAGATAGATAGATAGATAGAAGAATGATGGGTAGGGAGAAACTATTTTTCTGACAATCTTGATCTAATAATGTATTTTCAAAAGCAGCCACTCTGTTGTTTCGTATTTTTCCTGATAGAAACAAGAAAGAAAATCAGACCACATATGGTTCAAGAAGTTTTTAATTTCTTTTAAGGCGATAAGGAAATCCCACTTGTTAAATACGCGGGATTCGTTTATGCACAGAAGAATCAAGTCAGTCGCACACGTCAGCAAACGAAACGAGTTTCGCCAGGGAATTTACAAGTTGGACAACTTCGTACGTTTAGCTCGACTGCTGTTCGGCGTTTAGTCTTTGTTTTCTAGTAACTTACCTCCCCGATTTTGGAAAAAAATATTGGCACCAAAGTGTGTAATTAACGGTAATAATAAGGTAGAAGAAAGATTATTTAACAATGCTGCGCCACAGAAATGTTCCAGACGAGAAAAATATGATCACCCTTCAAGAGGTAAGAAAATATGAATAACTTTGGATTGCTTCGAAAACTGTTGCTAGAAAATTTATTGAAAAATATACCCTTTTTTGGTTCGTTTGAAGTTTTATGAGGATAAGATAAAGAGAAAATTCTTTTAACATATTTAAAATAATCTATCTATCTAAATATTTTCATTATTTATCTATCTGAATATTTTCCTATCTATCTATCTGAATATTTTCCTATCTATCTATCTGAATATTTTCATATCTATCTGTCTATCTGAATATTTTCACATCTGTCTATAATCTATCTATCTATCTGAATATTTTCATATCTATCTATATATTTATATGAATAATTCATATCTATCTATATGTTTATATGAATATTTTCATATCTATCTATATATTTATATGAATAATTCATATCTATCTATCTATTTATATGAATATTTTCATATCTATCTATATATCTATCTATCTATCTATGTTTACTGACCTATTAAATCATACATATCGCTTTTTATTCTCATCTACTGCTAAATGAAAACTTATTATAGTGCACTGATTTTCAAGCTCGCTCTGCAGGCCGATTCGCTAGTGCAGTAGGTGTTTCATTACTCTGCCCATGTGTTCGACTCTGCTAAGTAAATAGGTTATTTACAAGTACATGAGTTCCGGTTCAGATTCACAAACAGCACTTCAAAAGGAAATGTCAAGGTTGGAAGAATATAAATGCTAAACATACAAACTGTATTCAAGGCCACCTGGCATAGAATGATAATGACTGAACCTGTTGCAAGCCAACAAGAGTGAACAAGAATCTCCTTACGGAGCTATTCGATTCGTCTCTGTTGCAGGCGAGGCGAATCATGCTAAATATTCCATGTGCCTGACTATCGACAACAATATGTGCCCGTGTATATATATATATATATATATATATATATATATATATATATATATTTATTTAAAATATAGTTCCAACACGCTACATAAGAGTTCTCATGTTTCAAAACAAGATGATGGATCAGA